TAACAAAGAAACAGAATTTCCGGAGGATGAGGCCCAGAAATCAGGATTTTAAAAAGATTCCCAGCTGATTCTAATGTGCAGCCAAGGTTGAGAACCACTGGCCTAGAAGGAGGTGGAGCAGTTCAGAGCAGCTGCTTCTAATTCATTGCAGCAACAGCTTCTGGGATCTCACTGACCTGTGGGTGGCTCTGGCTTGAGGGCCGATGGGCTCTGGACTAAGGAAGCCTCAGAGCTGGGGCTGGGTGAGACAGATAACCGTTGGCCTTGTGGAGTTTCTGTCTTTGTTACCCAGTGCCTCTGACCCCTGGGGCACAGGTGCAGACTTAGCTGAGGCAGCAAGTGATGGAAAAGCACGACTCCCTGACAGTGGCTCGGTGGTGCCTGGAAGAGGAGCTGGGCAGGTTGCCTGCTGTGAGTTACTCACTAATACTCTTGGTGTCCACCCGTGCCCTCTGGGCTGTGGGTATTTGCAAGATCCAGAGCTGATCGTGGGGAATTTAAGAACTGGGATTGTGGAAACCTGATGGCCAGCCATTGCCCTCCTGCATCTCATACACAACCCAACAACTCACAGGAATATCACGAGGGGTTAAAAGGATGGAGAAAAGCAGTTGTCTTGGGTGACTGCTTGATACTATTTCCCCCAGTTCCTCCTCCCCTTCCTCCAATTCTTTTTCATTCTTGGCCCTACAGACAGCCAGATACCTCTATGGCCTCCAGGGTCCCAGGCAGGTTTGGCCTGGAAAGTCAAGTAAGTTCGGCATATGGGTCTTTGGAGGGTGCAGTCGGGAGCCCTGGAGAGCACATCTCTAGAGTTGGGGGCTGGGAGATGCTATTTCCTGTTTCCGGAAAGACTGCCCTGTCAGGGTGCCTGCTCCCCGCTTCTTTTTCCAGCATGCTTTCTTCCACAGGGATGTTCTTTCTCCTCTAACTTTCCTGGGACCTCCAGGGCTCTGTCGGGGCCCAGCGTGGGGACTTCAGGCAATCAGCGTCTCCCACACTCACAGGAGTATGACTAGAGCAAAGGGAGAAAGAGCTCAGTCTGAGTCCCAGCTCTTGTTACTTATTGCCTTTGAAACCCTTGCAGCTTCTTATTCCCTCACCTGTATAATAAAATACTACTGCTACTTACTTCCTAGGACTATAGTGAGGATTAAAGATGATAACTCATGTAAAACAATTAGTATGATGCTTGGCTCAACAAGTGCTAGCTATAACAACAACAAATAGTAGTATTCCCATGGGCGACCCCTGGGCCTGGCTGTTTTCTATTTAGGGGCTGAGCCAGGTGCAGGCAGGAGGCCTCCCAGCCCAACATGCCCCTGTCTGGTCAATGCAGCTGCTACAGAGACACTGAGAAGAGCACTGAGAAGACAGGAAACAGCAGCAGAGGGTGTCACAGCCTGACCCCAAAAGAGGTTGCATCAGAGAAGACAGACTGGGGACCCCTGCCTGGGGGTGGATCTGTAGACACTATGAGCAGCAGCTTCTTCAGGACCCAAGAGAT